TTGTTGTTGTTGTTGTTGTTGTTGTTGTTGTTGTTGTTGTTGTTGTTGTTGTTTGTTGTTGGTGGTGGTGGTGCTGTTGTTGCTGTTGATGTTGCTGTTGCTATTGCTGCTGATGTTGATGCTGCTACTGGTGCTGCTACTGCTGCTGCTGTATATTTCTCAAGACACATTTTATTTGTTTGTGCTGAAAATGGGGAAGGGGGCAGGGTGGATGTATACAAAATGTGTACAGAACATTGTTTGGGGCAAGTGGATATGTATCTGACTTTAAAAGATATTCTCCAGATCAGCAACGAAAAAACTTTAGTTTATTTAGGGGCCTGCATTTTTTTTTGTTTCCGTCGTTTTTTACTGTTTTCTTTGCTTTCTTAATATGTTGCTATTGTTGTTATTTTTGTTATTGTCATTGTTGTTTTGTTACAACTGTTGCGTGTTCACAATTGGCAGTTCCCGCCATCAAGCAAATGCCCACCGTTTGTTTTACTGTTGTTGTTATCCTTGCCGTTATTTTATTGCAATTGGCGTTATCATTTTTGTTAATATTGTTATTACTGTTGTGAGGGAAAGTTGACGTAAAGGGTTATTGTAGAGTATTTAAAAAAACCGGAATACATAGCAATATTTTTTAAAGTAGCAAAACCTCTTAGTAATCTCACAAGTAGAAGCAAAAAAGATTTTAAAAGTTCAACAACTCAAATACCTTGGGCGCTCTCGTGGCCTATAGTTTAAGGAATTCGCCACTCATTCAATAGTTCCCGGGTTCGGATCCGGAGAGCGACGGAAAATTTTCTTCTCTAAAAATTGTCTCATTCCGCTTCCTTTCCTGCTCTCTAACAATGTTTTGTCGTCTTTTTTCGTCTCCACTTTCTGCTCCTGCCCCCTCACCTCCTTTGCCCCCTCCTCTGGGCTCCTGACTCTTTCTTTAGCCTTTCTACTGCTACTCGTTGGCTCCTTCTTACTGCTGTCTTTCAGCCACGCCCCTGATCTTCCGCTAGAAAAGACCTTCACTTAGCCTTCTCTGACAAAGGTGAAAAATCTCGGAGGTCCGTGTGCAAGTTGTGCATGTTAAAGATCCCTTGGAGGTCCAAAAATCGATAAGAGTAGGCTTCGGCGCCACCCGGGCAAAATTCAAAATTTCCTATCACCTAAAAATGTTTAATGTGTCCCGCGCGCTCATATGACCTAAACGTCACTCGCAAATGAAAGGAAGAATCACTACAGCTATAGAGAGCTTCTTTTAATTGAGACAAGTCAAGAAAAATAGAACTTCTCAAGGACTACTAAAATAAGGGTTCTTAACGTCTATGCGTTGTCAACCCTTCTATACGTCTGTGAATGGTGAATAATTACCAAAGATAGAGGAAATAAAATACATTCAACAGAAATGTGGTTTCTCAGGAGACTTTCAAGAATTTAATGAATAGAAAAGAAATCAAACGAGGGAGTAGTGAAAGAAGCACAGGGGGCCAATCACCGAGAAGCGACAGATACGATTTCTGGGACACATGAGTCGTTGTAAGACGTTGCACATCTTGATCTCACTGGAAAAATCGAAGGCAAACGAGGCAGTGGTGGGCTTAAAGAAAATTATTAAGGAAACCTGAACAAATGGGTGACGAGGAAATGCTATGATAATGTAGGATTTTTGAGAGCGGAGAAATGATTGAAGAATTGCCATCCCCGATGTCTGCTTTATGATGATGGCTGTTGTTTATTCAGTGCTTTGTATGTATTTTTGCGGATTCGTAGAAACTATGACAGACAATTGATTTATGTTGTTGGTTTGTTCGTTTTTCGTTATTACGTTTATTTCTGAGCTTGTGGTTCATGTGTTGCATCTAGTGCTCTTTTTGTTGCAGGGGCTGTTGTTATTGTTATTGTTTTTGTTATTGTTGCTGTTGTTACTGTCATAACTGTTGTTTAACTTCTTGTCTTTGTTCTACCTTGAAAAAGCTAGATATAAATGTCATATTTTTGTTCTTGTTATTGCTTTATATAATAATATTAGCATACATTTCCAAAGTATAAATAGTTAATTGAAATAGATAACCACCAACCAAATACATTACTCTCGAAATAAGAAGAGAAGTAACAAATATGGAGGACTTTTGTTATAGTGTTTTGTTTTTTGTTATTTGGTTTTTGTTTTTTTAATGCGCCTTTCCATAAAGGTATCTCGCTCATGAATTAATGCAAGCATTTTGCATAACTGTCAGTTGTCATGGAAAAAGAAGTAGAGACATGATATTTTCCCCTGTGATTTGGATGAAGTGACGGTTTAAAGTGCAGTGAGTTCAAAAGTAAGGAGAATCTGTCGGAATGTTAATTGTGTAAGCAAGACCTGTCTCCGTACAGTTCGCAAGACTCGACAGTAAACAGAGAACTTGTGAGTTGTTAGCTTTGTGTTCCGTACGACGCCCCTCTAACAATAACCTCCTGACACCCTGGCCCACAACCTGACAAAACGGAAGGAGGGAACCTGACCAAGAAGAGGAAAATTAATATCTACCTTTTAGAAAGCAATGTAAAGGTGCCCGAGCAAGTGCTTAACCCCTTACGTGTTATGCCCCCAACCTTTTTTGGCCCCG